AAAAAAAAAAAAAAAAGGAACTTAACCAAGAAAATTAGCCATTTTTTATTCCTGAGTAGATGGTAACAACTGAAATGACCTTAAAATGATCAGTTGTACCCCTTGGTTTACGTTCCATAGAGCTGCCAAGGACATGAGTGAAAATTCAGCAGACCAGCTATGAAGGGGTTTTTGGAAGAGAATGCCATATTTGTCCTCTGACTCTGCTCTAGCCACCTCTCCTTCCTCAGTGCACAGATATAATTCACTATTTTGATTCTAATCACCAAACCCTTCTTGCATGCCTTGGACAAAAGATTCAGTGACCTTCTTGATGAATTACTGTCTCCCAAACTTTTCTGATTTTAAGAGCTACTTATTATAAATAAAAATATCCATGCTTTCAGTGGTGTGCACCTGTAGTCCCAGCTACTCAGGAGGCTGAAGCAGGAGAATCGCTTGAATTCAACTGGCCCAGCTGGTCTTGAACTCCTGACCTCAGGTGATCAGCCCGCCTCGGCCTCCCAAAGTGCTGTGATTACAAGCATGAGCCACTGCGCCCAGCTACATGCCATTTTTAGAATGACACTTAATTTGATAAGTTTCCTCATGATGGGATTCTGTTATGCATCACTGAAAGGAATAACATAGAAGTGATGCCAGGTCTTCTCATTGCATCCTCTCGGATGGTGTTGATTCGTCCCATTACTGGTAATGGGCACTTTGGTCACTTGATTAAGATGGTATTTGCTGTCTTATACAGAGTCACTGTTTTTCTCTCTATAATTAAAAAGTTTTTTACAGGGAAGAAACTTAAGACTATGCAACTATCCTGTTCTTCATCAAATTTCAATTTATTCACTTAATAACTTTACTGTATACACAAGTATTCCTATTTTATTCAGGGGGTTATAATTCCATTATTATCATTAATCATTTTGATGTTCAAATTGCCCCAGCTATGACCAGGGGAAACTCCTCTAAGCTGCCTCCTGTGCTCCTTAGACATGTACTTTATTATTATTTGAACACTTTTTTAGGACAGGATGTCAAAGCTCATTTTTTACTTTCACTGCCCTAATCCTAGAATCAGCCAATTCTGCAGAAAACTCTGACTCTTTTTAGTGAAGAACAGTATATAGAAATAAAAATGCTAGGTATGTCCCTTGCTACTTGGGTATTGCTGTTTCCAACACTTCAAGTTGTTAGAACTAATGGGGTACACACACACAATCATCCCTCTGCATCTTTGGAAAATTAGTTGCAGGACACCCCGGGGATACTAAGATCCATAGATGTCCAAGTCCCTTGCAAAAGATAGCATAGTGTTTGCATACAATCTATACACATCTTCCCATATACTATTTTTTTTTTTGAGACTTAACCAGTAAGTCTTTTCAGGGCAATATCAAGTAAACAAGGGCATAATACTATGTCAGCCAATTAGTTTGTTAGAAAAATTATTATATGCTAATATTAAAAATTCGGATATTATAGAGACTATACAGTGTAGAAAGTTAAATTTTTCTTTAATTTCATCACCCAGGAGTAACTACAGTTATAATTTCCTGTGTATTCTTCATAATTTTTTCTATGCATATACTATCCATTGTATGCAGATATATTTGACATTTTTCCCCCAAATTGAACTTACGATGTCACTTTTAAACTTGGTATTTTTAACTTGGCATTTCTTTGAGAGGCTTTCTGTATTAGTACACAGAATTTCATTTAGTCGTTTTTAAGACTTTTTCATTTTATTTTAACCATTTTTTCTTTATGTTTAATTACTCGCACACTACATGAATGCTAATAGTCTACCTTTACTTTTGTCTAATTACATTTTCTTTCCCAGAGGTAACCATTTTCTTTATGCATTTATACACACACACACACACACACACACACACACACACACACACACACACACATTGGGTTTTCTTTTTCAGAAATGAGATAATAGACAACATTGAGTTTCAGGCCTTTGCAAATTTCAAAGCCAGAATAAATATACAAGGACCGTAACCTGTTTATCATTCTAGGTCTTTTTTTCTCAAGGCCCTCCAATCTCATTTGTATTGCAGCCACTGCAAACATACCAGAGGCACTGGGAATTCAGATGCATTAAAGAAAGAGGTGCATCAATAAGATCTCCCTGGGACATGTGACCTTGTAGAACCCCTCCTTTTGTGGCCTTAGCACTCCAAAACCAATCTGAGAAGAAAAGAATGGAAGAAGAAAGTAGAGGAGAAATGTATAGGCCCCATGGGCCCTTGGATGCCTGGGCTGTTAGGGTTGAGATGCAGTTCTCCCTAGGACTCTAGACTCTTTTGCCTCTTATAGCCAGAGGGAAAGAGTTTGAAGCATGTAAGATTTTGGGAAACATGAAACTGAGTTAGGTCTAATCATCAGTGATTGGAAGTAAAATGTGCAATAAAAGCCAACTGGGAGTTAACTCAAAGGCATTTTGAGTTTGCTTCAGTGAGTTAAAAATTATAGCCTTTTGTCCCAAATTTCTCAACAAATACTCTATAGAAAATTTTAAGCCCCAGAGTCCTTAACTAATGTTATTTAAGGCAATTTTACGTGTCTAATTGTACAGATTATTTGCTAACTTTTGTGCAAGAAATGATCTCAAAATACCCTTGTGTCTACTGATATTTCAAGGTAAGGGAATGCTCTGGAATGCTTCCCATTTTCCAAATGTAATATTTTCCAAAATAAACTTTGGAGCAACTGCATGGTTGATATCATGTGAACATTTTAATTCACACAATCATATTCTGGAGTTTATGGTGGCTTGGCTTTTTTCCAGGAGGTTTGGAAGTCCAAAAGCCAGCTGTTTCTTCTCTGTGGGAGAAAGATGGAGCATGTGAATCAGAATTGGTAAATTGGAGAGGAGGTCACAAACCGAATGGACTTAAGCAAAGTGCAGTGCAATCTGCCAGTTGCACAGAGGAGAAGTACTGGTTACCATTAAAGTCTTCAAAATTAGGACCTCAGAGGAGAAATGAATGGTGAAGTCAACAACTCCTTATTTCTCTCTCTTTTCTAGAGGATGGGGCTGGTGTAATGAGATCCAGGTGCAACCCTTGAGATATCAGGGGTCCCCATCCTGTTCTATTCAGAAGCCCCCAAACCTTCAGTACCTATAGTTCATGTACTGCCTCTTCCAAGGAGCCTGCCTTGATGGCTTGATTGCAGTTATCAAATGACATCTCACTATTGAGATGATTTGTTTCCTTACTTTTCTCAAAGGAATGTGAGATTCTTGAGACCAAGATGTAACAGGCACATGATAATTATTTTTTGAATGTTGACTGAATGAGTTTCTCTGGTAGGAAATAATCCCCCCGACTCCTCTGAGCTCCCTTGGTGCTTTGCACTTACCTCACTCGTGATTTTTTTCACATTCCACCTTGTACTATAATTTTCTTATTTTGTAGCTCCACTATTAGACTCAATTCTTCTGCAACAGAGATAAAATATTGCATGTAAATTATTAGCACCACATCTGCTGATTAAATGATAGCTATTTTTATTTGTGTAATGAGGTAGCTGGAGGAGCAGAAAATATATTTTATTTTTTAAAAAATAGCTTCTGGGTATGGCGGCTCTCGCCTGTAATCCCAGGACTTTGGGAGGCCAAGGTAGGCAGATCACAAGGTCAGGAGTTTGAGGCTAGCCTGGTCAATATGGTGAAACCCCGTTTCTACTAAAAATAGAAAATTTAACCAGATGTGGTGGCACACACCTGTAGTCCCAGCTACCCGGGAGGCTGAGGCAGAAGAATCACTTGAACCCAGGAGGCAGAGGTTGCAGTGAGCCAAGATCACACTACTACACTCCAGTCTGGGTGGCTGAGCAAGACTCCAACTAAAAAGAAAAAAAAAAAAAAAAACACTAAATCTATCATTTCATTAAGAAGCTTTCCTTTTATAATTTTATAACCATATAAAGAGGAAAACTCCCAGCCCTACCCTCTCTGGCCCCTGTGTGCCTGTCAAGATCTTGGGTCTGGGTTTGAGTCAACACTAGGTTTGAGTCATGTTTGCAACCTATTTGTTTTGTGATCTTTAGCAGCTCACTTAAGTTCCAAATGTGTTTCTCATGTATAAAAGTGGACAATAGTATATGGTTCATAAAATTAGATGAGATATTATATGTCAGACACTAAGCCTGACACAAAATAAGCGCTTAACAAATGTTAGCTATCACTATTATTTCCTTCATCACCGAACTCTACTCTGCATCCTTTTATTGTTATTATTTTTTGAGATGGAGTCTCATTCTGTTACCCAGGCTGAAGTGCAATGGCATGATCTCAGCTCACTGCAACCTCTGCCTTCCAGGTTCAAGCAATTCTCCTGCCTCAGCCTCCTGAGTAGCTGGGACTAAAGGTACATGCCACCATGCTCAGTTAATTTTTGTAATTTTCAGTTGAGATGGGATTTTGCCATGTTGGCCAGGCTGGTCTCGAATTCCTGACCTCAAGTGATCCATCTGCCTTGGCCTCTCAAAGTGTTGGGATTACAGGTGTGAGCCACCCTGCCCAGCCTCACTCTGCATCCTCTTACACCTTCCCTGTGTTCACACTTGAATCTACTGCCATCCAGTACCCATGCCCTACATACTTCGATGGTTTTTTTTCTCATGTTAAATGGTTCTTTTTTTTGTCTACACTTAAGGGATATAATATACTTTAATATACATATACATATACATAGTGAAATGATTACTACAGTCAACCAAATTAATATGTCCATCTCCTCACAGTTCCTTTTTTTTTTGAAAAGTTTTATAGCTTTTTTGAGGTATAATTGACAAAATTTTATAAAGTATAAATGTGATAATTTGATATATGCATATTGTAAAATGATTAACACGTCAAGTTAGTTAACACACCTATCACTTCACCTCGTGAATTTCCACGTCTGTGTGTGTTCGGGGGATTGGGGGGGTGAGTAAGAACATTTAAGATCTATCAACAATTTCAAGTGTGTAGTATTATATGGTAACTACAGTCACCAGGCTGTATGTTACGTCCACAGAACTTATTCATCTTATAACTGAAAGTTTGTTCCCTTTGACCAACATTTCCCCATTTCCCCTGCCACCAGCACCTGGCGACCACCATTCTGCTCTTTGTTTCTATGGGTTCAGCTTTTTTAGATTCGATGTGTAAGTGAGATAATACAGTATTTGGCTTTGTCTATCTGGTTCATTTCACTTAGCATAATGCATTCAAGATTCATTTATGTTACAAATTATCATATGTCCTTTGATTTAAGGCTCAATAATATTCTGTTTGTCTATACATAACACAATTTATTTACCCATTGATCTATCAATAGACAGGTTGTTTCCATGTTGTGGCTACTGTGAATCACGTTA